ATTCATCACAGCAGAAAAAAAAAATATGGATGCTGTTTTTCTGTTTTCTGTACTTTAAGCCAAAGCACATCATTCTTAAGCAACAATGCATTTAAAGATGATGGCAAGCCCCAGCAGGTGGCTTAGGAATTCACATTTTAATTAAGTCTTTTCTTTCAAAATGCAAAGCACAACTCTTGGCAAAAAAAAGAGAGATCCTTTTTAGTATGCTACATACCTTTCTAAGCACTGCAAGGAGCCTCAAGAAATGGATAGGACCACGAGCAGGAAAAAATATTGCTGCAAGGTATTATTGTAAAATAGTATCAGCAAGAGAGATAATGAATTCAATGACCCTAGGATTTTTCTGCACATCTGATTCTAGATTGCACTTTTTAGTTCAAATAAGCATAGGCCTGCCAAAGCCAATTAACTACTGATTTTGATCAAGGAAAGTGACACATTCATAACCCACAAATATATCTGCTATTCCAAATGAAAGAAGGAAGGGGTGTGGGGGGGAAGACCCTGGTTGATTTCTGTTTGCTATTCTTTAGCTTTCTCAATTATCCAGCATGTATATCAACATTTATCCATTAAGTCTTTTTTTTTGGTACTGATAGGTAGATTACTTCTCTCAATTTGTTGGCTGCTGTATTGTTCTTTGGATTTGCTAGCGTGATTTGCTAGAACCTTGGCTATTTTTGTGTACATATTTCACAGAGCCTTTCAACGTGGTAATGACCAGAGTGCTGATCTAATTTCATCTTTTAGTAGTAAGGATTTTTGGAAATAGAAAACATTTACTAAGGTATGTAGGATATCGATACATTTACTGTACAGTTTTTCAGTAATCCATCTTCAGTATTTTCATCTTCTTTGAATCAGTTACTATCTGTCTATTGGTATCCTCAAATTCCAGTTTGAGACTGGAACGTCCTTCTGAATCCAGAGATCTTTTGGAAGACGTTTCTTGTTTTTCCATAATTCTTTCCCTACCTCTACAGATATCATCGTAATACTGGTTTTTTATCTCTTCTAATTGCTTCTGAAATTCTTTATTAAATTCTTTCCTAAGATCTTAGTCTTTCTTGGTTTTAATTTATCTTTCTGGCATTTCCCAGTTTGTTCTGACATCAAGTTTGCTTTCTTCTGATTTTTGGCCTTCGACAGCCTATCTTTCATGACTTTGATTCACCCCATAGTTCCTTAGTTGCCTCCCAGGAAGTTCAAGATTTTAAATTGATGTTCTCCTTGAAAATGGTGAGTATATGCCCAACATTCAAGTGTGAAACCAGTTGGTTTACTTTTCCATCTTTAGCTTGGCTTGGAAATTGAATCTGAGTGGTTTGTGACCTGTACTACAGCCCTTTATTATTTGAACTGAGTTCTTCCATCTCCTTGTATCAGTATAATTAATTCAATTTTTGTATATTCTGTCTGGAGATGGCCATGTGTATAGGTGTTGTTTTGGTTTTGTTAGATGTTATAGAGTTCTTATTTTATCTGGGGTTTTTTTCTGCCTAAATAACTCCCAGCAAATAAAACTTTGGCAGCATTTGTATTTTGCTTCCTTTGAACTCTCATAATTATGCTCGCATCCTTTCTTTGTTCAGATTGACAGATCCTGTTTAATGACTGGCCTCTATAGCTGGCCTGATCCCAAAAAAATCCACAGGGTAAATAGTTTTTCTAAGGAACTCAACTTTAGGAATATGTGTATGCATGTGCATGTATGAGTATATGTACATATGCGCCATAAAAGACTTCTGTACTAACCTAACTTACTTTTTAAAAATGTACTCGCTGTTATTGCTGCTACTGATTGGTAAAATGTTATTTTCTATTCCTTCTCTCACCTGTGGGGATCACCTCCCATAGCTCCTACTTTGATATAAATCAAAGGCTGTCATTTTATCCAAAGCAGAAAACTAACATGTTTTTATCTTACTCAGCAGGATTGGAAATCAGAATTTAATAAACCTGAATGCAAACACCTCTATTGGTGGCAGAGTAAACAATAATTAAATAAACCAAAAATAAATGTCAGGATTTCATGATCCTTCTAAAATGCCATTGAATGAGGAAGGTTGGGTAGAAAAAGGTAAAATCCTGAAAAGCAGATAATTACATAGATTGGGACAAGAAACAGCATATATTGAGTATATAATAATAGAAAAAAGGATCCAGAATGAAAGCATTAAAGAAGGTCCTCCTTGCCATAAGCCTGACAAAGTGAGAAGAAAAACAGAGTTAAATGTACTTAAGAAGGAAGCCCTGCCTGTGTCTTTTTGTCTGAAAAACAGCAGGAATAGAAGGTGTAATCCGTGAAAGGGCATGAGATAAATTTGATATGTTTCATTCTAGTCACTCTCTTTCTGCTTTCATTCACCCAATGAGTGAAGTATAAATTGCTCAATTTCCAGGGTTATAATACAAACAAATGCAAAAACACAGCGATGTATAGTCTGTTTTTTTAAAAATGGTCCTATCAAGGATTCAGAGGAGCCCATCTCATTTAGTTCTTAATAATCAAAGTCTCTGTATTTCTTTCTTTCTGTCTCCCCCCAATGTTGGCCCCATTAATGTCAGCCAAATCTGTTTAGCAATGCCAATCATCCTAGACCCATATCTGCAGTCCCAAAACTAGACAATCATGCTTGCAGCCAATGAAAATGCACTTCTTTATGCATGTTCCTATGGTTACACTGAAGAGACTGAGGAGTTGCAATACAAAGCTCGGCCTTTTCATCACGGTTTTCTTTTGTTCTTTCTTTCCTATCTGTTCTTTCTGAATCAACATGTGTCAAACATAAAAGAATGTCAAACCTCAAAAGCAATAACTATCTATACCTCTTCTCCATCTCATTCCTGCTGTCAGAAAATCACTAGGTAAGTGGGCCAGATGGATGAGATGAAAGCAACCAGTTATGAAAATAACTGTGATAGAAATAGGTGAGTGGACACATTGCATTGCATCCTAATGCTATTGCTAGGTATATAAAAGGTGGTTCAATTGGGGATCAGTTCTAACACCGATTAGGGCAGTTCACCCCAATATTTAGATTTTGTATTTATATATTGGTTGTTTGGTAGTTGATGTTATGTATGAAAAACCTGCCTCCAGAAGTTGTGAATGCTCCAACATTGGAAGTTTTAAAGAAGAGATTGGACAACCATTTGTCTGAAATGGTATAGGGTTTCCTGCCTGAGCAGGGGGTTGGACTAGATGACCTCCAAGGTCCAACTCTAGTATTATTATTACTGTTGTTGTTATTGTTGTAAAACACCCAGAGTCTCACTGTCTGAGTTGAGCAGCCTTATATCTCTTGAAATACATAAATAAAAAAATTAGAAAACATTGCAATTACACAAGCTGGGCTAAAGAAAGATACGAGTTGAATATGATTAAGGCTGCTAGCCATAAGGATGGAGAAAAGCATTTAAATTAAGTACTTAGTTCCTTACTGATATAAATCTGTGAAGGAATGTAATCTGGATTCCCAGGCAGGAGGGGGTGCATTCTAGAGCAGAGTTCCCCAATCTTTCCAGCTTGGCAGCCTGGAAGGAAAGGGAGCAACAGGGAAATACCCACATTTCCAAGTGACTATCCTTGATATAATGGACTGGATGTTGCCTGATTAAACCACTTCAGCTTCTACTGAGAGACTGATGGTTACTGTACCTGTTTATAGTTTAAACTGATAATTAACTACACGATAAGGTTCTGACAATTGGTTTTGCAATTTTTGCAATTGTGGTGGTATCAGTCTGTCAGTCATAGACAAGATGCACCTATGTGCCTATGCATCTATGTCTGTTTCCACTTTTCCGTATTCAAGTTCCACAATCAGGCTTTGTTATAGAACACTACAAATGAAAATGAAGGCTATGGCCTGATAGTAGAATTAAACATGAACAATCTGGCAAAAAGGAAGATAACTACTGCAGACTGAAAGGATGAAATCACTGGAGGGGAAAGGAATTTGAAACTAATTTATATAAGGAGGAAATGGCCCTAAAGCAATATGCAACCCATCTATCTCCTTTGTTGTGCCCTATAGATCTCAGAAGTCAACTGCTTGTTTTGGCAATGAATACTGAGAAATGACGGCATGGTTTCACATTCCTGGCAGGAAAAAAAAAAGAGAGTTCTGCTTTAAGTTTAGCACATCAAAAACCTAAAAAGGGGCCTATATGCTACACCTCTAAAATAACACCCTGAAATCATAGCCCTGCCCACAAGATGTTTGTCCAACATGTCAAGGTCCCTCCCAATTTTCTTTTTCATTGTGTGAAAAAGAATTTTAATTTCATTAGTTCTATTACTTTGTAATGCAAACAGGTTTACACCATCCAAACTGTAATAAACATACAGCTTTTTCAAGCTGGAAATTACATCTTTCCTTAAGGTTTTCATTCTGAATATAACAAATGTAAGATTCATTTTCTAGATTGTACTCTCTTCCCTGAATACGTTCTAAATGTCTCTTTTTATAAAATGGTCGTATCAATTCTACCGTGTCCATGTTTTATTATTTTATTTTATTGGTTTATTTTCTTATGCATGCGATTATTCTATTGGAAAACAGAAAAGATCTTATTTCTGTTTTATTTTCCCCAAACAGCAAAATCAGATGAGGAATGTTTAAAATCAAAGGTCAAAGAATGAGTTTGCTGGGACCCAAAATCCCTTTGACCCAGCATTTTGCTTTTACAACAAATCTGCATCGCCGTTTGTGAAATTCTCCAGCCAGTGCAAACTTTTCAGTTGTCAGCAAGGATAGGGCAGTTGCCTTTTTTTATAGGCATCTGTCATAAAATACTTTTGGAAATAACATGAAAAGGTCTGACCATCCCTATATAAATCGCTTGTTCAGAATAATATTATTACATTTTGGAGTAGCGTACAGGTAATAACACCCCATCATCACCACCCACCACATCATCCATCCATCCAGCACCCACCACCTCTTGGTTATATAAATTCCCAACATATCCCTACCTGTGATCATCCTCACCTCATCACATGGAGCTATCCTGTGGATAATGTCTTTCAAACATCCAATCATCTTTTCTTCCTGAAAATCATAAGGAAAGGTTTCCGTCCATTCTGTTAATAACTGTAAAATCTTGGGCCCAAATTTTCTGATCCGTGCCTAAAATAGAGGTTAAGGAATGAAAGATGAAAAATTAAGGGAAGTACATCAACAGATAAAGAGAGAGAAAAGGACCTTAATTTAAAATTAAAGCATTTGCAGCATACCTGGAAAGCTTACATATGTGCAATAAACTTAACATGGATGATAAATCTCCTTAGATTAGGTAGGGATGAGTGAATCATTCAACTTCCCGTCTGGGTTAATTTTGTAGTAATTTATAATCACATTTCAGTTCATTTTTCCATTAATCCATTGGGTTGTTTTTTTTAAAAAAATCTACCTTTTTTTTTATTTAAATCTGCATATATATTCTTTGTGTTGGATTTAGCAAAAATGACATTTCTCAACCATTGCTTCGTTGACTATACCTAATAGTTGTCTGTTCACATTGTACAGCTACCGGTTAGCCTGGAAAGGTTTCGTTTGAATCTAACAACTCGCTGCTGTAAATCAATTTAGTCTTTTTCCTAGTTTTTAATACATTTGTTTGTGATTATGCATGATGCCCTGTCACTTCCAAAATATTTTTAGGAGTCATTTCAGCAAGTTCCCTTTGAAACAGCACACATGCCCATTACAGTAATAGAAACTCTAGATGAGACAGACATTTTCCTTGCTTTGGCCTCCAAATGAAAGGTACCCTTTAATCAAACAAAATTATATTGTATGTATTGAAGCTTCCTGCCTTTTCCACAAAACTGGTCAGTAGAGCTATTTTAGTATTTGGCCAAAATAGGTTTCGAGGGAACTATCACTGGACATAATATAGCAGTTAAAGACTTTTGAAAAGGTCAAGGAAATAGGGTGCACTCTCTCTCCCACTTTGCTCAAGGTGCCTATAAAATACAGTAGTCCTCAACTTATGACAACTGAGTCCAAAATTCATGTTGCTAAGTGAGAAATGTGTTAAGTGAGTTTTGCCTCATTTTACAACTTTTTTTGCCACATTTGTTAAGTGAATCACGGCAGCTTTAAATGAATCTGATTTCCCCATTGACCTAGCTTGTCAGAAGGTTGCAAAAGGTGTTCACATGACCCAAGACCTTGCAACGGTTGTAAATGTGAACCAGCTGTCAAGCATCCGAATGTAAATCACATGACCATGGGGATGTTGCAATGGTTGCAAATGTGAAAAATGGTCATAAGTCACTTTTTTCAGTGCCATTGTAACTTTGAAGTCACTAAGTGAACTGCTGCAAGTTGAGGACTACCTGTATTGATAATCCAGGGCAGATGAAAAAAAAATCCTTAGTATATAGAGAACAAGCATGAAAAAACTCCTATCATAGTGAAACACTTGTTTCTTACCATACTCTGAACAAGGTAATTCAACACATGCCCAAAAGCTACAATGGGTCTTTACACCTTCCTTTGGAAAGCATCACTGCAAATCATGTACCCTTGCAGTACACATCTACATATTTTTCCACTGACTTTAACAGAAAGACAATTTAGCAACTAGTCTATTTTTGCATTTGTTATTATCCTGCTGCATCTTGCTTAGAAGAGAGCTGAATCTTCTCCCTCTCTTGGGGATCTTAGCTGCTGAAAATAAAATTTTCTACCATCTGAATACAGCAGCTTGGTCTGTGTCGCAAGACATAGGGATTTAATGTCTTTATAGGTGTGCAACAATGCAGTCATTTTAGCTATTTATATATTTCATTTATTCTGTTCCAAGATTACATGTACAGGTTTGTATGTCTGCATAAGACAGAAGAAGTGGAGACTGTTAATAAATGAATAATAAAGATCAATAAAATGTTAACAATAAGTGATTTTTGAAGATCTGCTGTTAACATTTTTCTGAGGAATTTAACAACACAGCGAGTCTAAATATGAACAATTATTATAAGATTTGTAGGTTCAGCGTACAAGATTTACTACCACTCTTTATATCAATTCTTATTTTCAGGGGCAGAATTGCCAAATGAGAATGCACAATCTGCCAACCCATTGCATGCAGCTTTATAAAGAAATGTTTCTGCTAACAAAGCACCCTTAACCCTGAAATAGAGTGGCAGGAGGAGAAATGTCTGTAACTATAATTTCAAAGAGCAGTTAAGTCCTCTGGCATTTCAAATACTGCTGCGTGGACCCACTTCTTTAGCTACATAAAGTGAAGGCGGTCCATGGTGCCCTTTCTTGTAAGGCATGCATTTGTCTTTAAAATTCTGCAAGAGAGATTGTTACTTTTGCAGCAGGAGGCAACACAGCAATTCCTCCCAATGTTTTACAAGCACCCCATTAGCTCTTGTAGAGAAGTTCAGCATATGCAGAGAAATAAATTTGGAATAGTTGCACTGTGTTTTTCAAAATGAGACAAGGGACAAGTACCGGTAGTCCTCTACTTACAACCACAATTAAGCCCCAAATTTCTATGGCTAAGCAGTTGTTTAAGTGGGGCTTGCCCCGTTTTATGATCTTTCCTGCCACAGATGTTAAGTGAATCGTTGCAGTTGTTAAGTTAGTAACATGGCTGTAACGTGAATCTGGCTTCCCCATCTGACTATGCTTGTCAGAAGCTCAGAAAAGGCGATCATATGATCCCGGGACACTGCAACAGTCATAAATAAATGCCAATCGCCAAGTGTCTAGATCTTGATCACGTGACCCTGGGGATGCTGCAAGAGTTGTAAGTGTAAAAACAGTCATAAGTCACTTTTTTCAATGTGGTTGTAACTTTGAATGGTCACTAAATGAATGGTTGTAGGTTGAGCACTACCCGTACCTTATTGCTGAAAATGCTAGAAGGGTATTTTAGTCAAAGAGACCAAGCAAATGGGACAATTTCAACATAGGCCTTCTGCACTCCATTAGAACCAGGCTTTACTTTTTGGGGGAGCATGAGGGCTGTACAGAGCAGGGTGACCAAGTAAAATCATCAGGACAGCACTACACCTATTGGGGCAGGAATTTCTGCTTGTTTTTCTTGAGATTTGGGAAGCAGAATTTTGGGTTGAATTTGGTTTAAATACATTAAACCTACTTGAGGGCTTACATTATTATATTGTTTGCACTTCCATTATTAAAATGGCAAGAAACAGTGCAGTAATTTTCAGCAATTACAGTCAAGGGGGGCTCCAACAACTACAGGGGAAAAAAAGGCTGCGTGTGGCTCTGGTTCTCTACATCTGTATCAGACAACTGCAGCCAAACCATTCCCAAATGCATTTATCTGGGCACCAGACAGAGAGCAGTACTTCCAAATATAGATGTATTAGCGTCTAACCATCATGGGTACTGTTTGTGAGCAATTGTATCCTGCTCTGGGGAGTTGACAGTGATGGGTTACCTAAAAAAGGCCGGCTTTTAATCAAAACCTAAGACAAAAGTAGATAAGAAGTGACACAGGAATACCAGCTCATGAAAGAGTACAACTAACTCTTATTCCCTGGCATCCTAAAGGCTCCAAAAAATGAAAGGAACATCACCTGGGAAGATTGAAAGTTAGAAAAGGAGGAAAGAACGATACCTGAATTACAGCTGTTCTTGCTACTTGGAGTTTTGCTGTCAGGCATGGAGGCCCTATTTAAACATGCCAAACCCTTAGGATTACAAAACTCTCCATGGGGACAAAGGGACATATGTAGCAAGGGAAATAGAGAAAACAGGTACAATCGGAAGCTTTCTCCAAATGCACTGTAATAGCAATAGCACTTAGACTTATATACCGCTTCATAATGCTTTACAGCCCTCTCTAAGCATTTTACCGAGTCAGCATATTGCCCTCAACAATCTGAGTCCTCATTTTACCGACCTCGGAAGATGGAAGGCTGAGTCAACCTTGAGGCAGTCAGAATCTAACTCCTGGAAGCGAGCAATGAGTTAGTCTGCTGCACTGCATTCTAACCACTGCGCCACCATGGTTCTTGTTATATTGTAATCCTGTTGTCACACTGTGAATGCTACCCTTACTCATCCTAGCATCTGCAATCATCAAACGTACCAACCTTATCCAGCACTGGGTCATCCAGTTGCTGCTGCTCAATGCACTTGTGACAAACCCGGGAGAGAAGTTCATGTGGTTCAATGAACAGTCTTGAGCTCAGCAGGAATGTGAAGATATAGGCCTTCTGAGGAAAGGAAACAGGAACATTCATCTAACAACAACTGGCTAGAGAACTAAATATGCAAAATTTCTTCTCAAAGGCAGGAGGTTGTTCAGTGGTTTATTCTGAAACAGAATACAGTGGTTGCAATTTCAATCTATCTGGACAGTATATAAACAGGGGACACTGTGTTGGTGTATCTGGTGTGATTTTTTTTAACCAACTTTATTAGATTTTAAAATAAAGAAATAAGAACTAACAAGGATTAATAGTTAAGAAAAATTCTTATTAGAGTTTTTGTTTTCTTTTTGTGACATTTTCTATTGCCTAGATGCTTTTGGGATAGGAGCAGGATATAAATACTATAAAATAAACATATGAACAGACAAGCAAATCAATGGCCATTAGATATAAGTATTAAAAATGGATGGGCAAGATATCTACTTCTCAATACAGGAGTCTTTTAAGAATGATAAATCATGCTATGTTCTGTATAGTATCTTTTCAGAAATTGGGATTATGTTTTGGCTAATACATAGGAATAACATCTAGCTAGTTTACAACTTATTTGCTCTTGGTGGTGTTCCCACTGACACTGGGGACAATAACTATTTAAGATGTTCTCTAGTCAGAGATATTTTTACTAATTTATCATTGTGAATTAGAGTTCCGTGTCATCAAAAACAAACAAAGCCCCTACAGAATAGTGACGCTTGGGAAAGTGCATGCATATTAATTTATATTTCTGGTAAAAAGGTACAAATTTGACACAGAGGCAAGTGGAACAAAAAACATTACTGTACAGGTAGTCCATAACTTATGACCACAATTGAGCTAACATTTCTTTTGCTAAGCAAGACGGTTGCTAAATAAATTTTGCCCCATTTTATAGCCTTTCTTGCCACAATTGTTATCTGAATCACTGCAGTTGTTAACACGATCAAGTGAACTTAGCTTCCCCACTGACTTTGTTTTTCAGAAGGTTGCAAAAGGTGATCACATGACTCCAGGACACAGCATCCATCATAAGTACACACCAGTTTCCAAATGCCCAAATTTTGATCATGTGATCACGGGGATGCGGAAATGGTTGTAAGTGTGAAAAACGGTTTAAGTCATTTTTTTCTCTGTGGTTGTAACTTTGAACGGTCACTAAATGAATGGTTGTAAGTCGAGGACTATCTGTATATTGTAACCTGCGTCAAAAGAAACTTTCCTAATTTAAAAATTGTTGACAGCTTGCAAAAAGTGATGGTCCAATTCATCAGAACAAATGGCAGCTCACAGTAACCAAATATTTACCTCAGGGTAGTAGTCAGCTGTAGGTATAAGGTGTTGAATTAAAGCATCAAGAGATGCTGAGGTAAGGTTCCCATCTTGAAAGATCAGTCCTCCTTCATCATCTTCTTTGGAAGGATGGAGGTGATGAGGGCTGAAGCCACAAGAAGTAAACATGCTGGCAGAGCTCAGTGTTTGGGGCATGCCTTTCTGGAACAAAAGAAGCACAGATAAAATCAGTCAAAGGTACACCCAAAAATTACATCAGAGCCTGGGAATGAATGAGCGAACGAGTGAATGAATGGAAACACTTGCATTTGCAAAACTTCCTGGGACATACTTTCCCACCATTGATATCCCTGACCATGTTTCTCTCAGTCTTAAGCTTCATTGCAGCCCTTTCATCCTGCCGTTCACATGTTATTGGAAAGGTTTTTTGTTGCTGTTGTTGGAAAAGATTCAACCATATTAGGAGTTAAGAAGTGCTGTCTTTTAATAACAGGATATTTTTATTCTTATAATAAACCTTGTAAGAAATGACAAGGGAAACATATTTTACTCTCCCTGTGATATAAAAGCTTTGAACATTTTTGGATAAACCAATCTGCTTTCTCACACACACACTGCCCCGGGCACAATGGGTTATCTTGTAAGGTTAGCGTAATGCACAACCACCATCCTCGGTAGGTGGTCTGGCCTGTGGGCAGCGGGACCGGGGATGGAGGCCGCAGCAGCCTGGACTCTATCCTGGATCCGGTCCGGTGAAACTGTTCCGGACCTGGCTCGCGGCCTCGGTGACAGCGGAGGCCGCGAGAGATGGAGGTCGTTGCCTGGTAGCCTGGACCGGGCCTTGGATCCGAACCGGCGGAAGAACTGCTCCGGACCTGGTTTGCGGCCTCGATGACAGCGGAGGCCGCGATGGACCAGGATTCGGAGGCCGTGGTGGCCTCGGACTCGGCAGGCGGCTCGGCCTGCAGGCAGCGGGCCCGGTGAGAGATGGAGGATGTGGCCCAGTAGCCTGGACCCGGCCCCGAACCCGGCCCGGTGGAAGAACTGCTCCGGTGGTCATTTTTCCTATCCCAGGTCTCAAAACGGGAACTGTTCATCAAAGGGACTTGTTTCCCCCCCCCC